AGGGAGGCTCTCCCCCCCCCTTCCCGCCCCTCTCTCTCTCATTTGAGCTAAACTGTCGACATATGCCAACAGGAAGGCTCTATGAGGGGTCCTGATTTCTTAGCTGGAGTGTGTAGGAGGTTTACTCAGTGACGGCATGAGTGAGAGAGAAAGTCGAAGGAAGCAAGCACCTGGGTGAGGGAGGAAAGAAGAATGCACAGAACAAAAAGATGGACAGATGAACCAAAAATCCTTACTTCCCTTTGAAGCTGGCAAGTGCATGTTCTCTTGGGATCTAAGGAGGGGAAATATAAACCCTGGACTATTAATACTGAAGCCATTAGCTTTCTCCACTAGATGACCTTCAGACATAGAAGAGTTATACTCTTTGGTTAAGAACTTGGGAAAGCTTCACACTGTTTTTAAGGCTCCTTTTATGTTAGTTGGATCTTACGTTGCAGGTTGATCAGCGCCAAGCCAAGGATAATGTAAAAGATCTCTTCCCCAAGCATCATCCAGTATTCACAGGAGATCTTTTCTCTTGTCATGTGTTTTCCAGATAAGGCTCTCTAGGAAAACCTAGAATTTCATTATGCAGCCTCTCTTCCTCCTTCCCTCCTTCCCTCCTTCCCTTCCTCCCTCCCTCTCTCCCTTCCTCCTTCCCTCCCTATCTCTCTCTCTCCCCATCTGGATTAAGTGCCAACCAGCCACCAAGCATGAATCTTAGTTTCCACTGAGTGTTTGCATTCTGCACACGAAGAGCTCTTTATTGCCTAGATAGGCAGTTCCTAAATGAGGCCACGTGTTTTTGGGTTAAAAACCTTCCTCTTCCTGACTCTAGAAAGGAGTGAGGAATATTGAATGCTCCTTCTCACTCTAAATTACAATATCAGGTTTCTTTAAAGGATGTTGTTGATCTTTTCATCCTTTGAAGGGGGTACATGTTTAAAGGAAATAGAACTGCATGGAAAGTTAGGAGTCTTGGGGCTCTGCCCCAAACTAGCTGAGGAAGCTTAGGTTTCACTTTCTGCATCTATAATAATAACGTAATTGGAAAAGTTGACATCAAATGTTCCACCTCATCCTATATTATATAACTATATTAAATACAGTATATGTTACATACCTCCTTATATTACCTACATTGAATTGTGGTGACATAGCGAATGGTAGACTATGTATAATGGAAGACTATAAAAATGTATATTCCAGTGGAATTCAGAATTAATCACTGGACAGCTTAAAACTATTAGGAAACTTCCAGAGGGTGAGTAGTCTGGGCTCATCTTTCATTTAGAGGAGTGTAGAGTAACATCTCTTCTATGCCCTTGAATTCAGATTTCCTTTTCAAATTATATGTATTTCCATTAAATTGTATTTAGCACCATTTATACATTTATTGTTATCTCAAACATTTACTACTCTTGGTTAGAAAATATTTTCAGCTTATACACAGTGAATTTCTCATTTCTGTTGCTGATTGTAATAGTAATTCATATATAAATTAGAATTATTTACAGTTCTTACAGTAATATAAGTGTTAGTAACAATGGAATTTATTGTCCCAAAATACTGTTGCAGGAGGCTTTTTCTAAAGGGGAGAAATCCGCCGAGACCGGTTTGGCTCAATGGATAGAGCATCGGCTTGAGGACTGAAGGGTCCCGGGTTCGATTCCGGTCAAGGGCATGTACCTTGGTTGCGGGCATATCCCCAGTAGGGGATGCGCAAGAGGCAACTGATCGATGACTCTCTCTCATCGATGTTTCTAACTCTCTGTCTCTCTCCCTTCCTCTCTGTACAAAATCAATAAAATATATTAAAAAAAAATAAAATAAAGGGGAGAAATCCTATTTAATAAAAAGACTAATGTGCAACTAGATCGAACAATGGAAAGACTGGTTGCTATGATGCACACTGACCACTAGAGGGAAGATGCTCAACGCGGGAGCTTCCCCCTGGTGGTCAGCGTGCTCCCACAGTGAGAGCACCGCTCAGCCAGAAGCTGGGCTCACAGCTAGCGAGCACAGCGACAGTGGCGGGAGCCCTCTTGTCTCAGCAGCAGTCAGACATCCCCTGAGGGCTCTCAGACTATGAGAGGGTGTAGGCCAAGCTGAAGGACTCCCCCCCCCCCCCCCCCCCTAGTGCATGAATTTAGTATAAATGTCTTCTTATGGCTGTGGAAAATAATATGTTGAATATCCTCTTATCTCCTTCCCACCAAGTAATGGTCTCTGTAGATAAAGGAATAGTGCTACAGGTATTTGGTTTCTGTTGGTTTGAAATAATAATGCTACACACACCGAATTTAATGTAAGACACAGTGGGGGAATTTGATAACTTTTTATTGAATAAGGAAATAAGGTAATGGATAGATGGACACTAAGGTTTCTTCATATTCATTTGAAGTCCACTATGAAAATAGGTTAGATCTTTAAGAACAAAACAGAATTTTTAATTATTTTATTATACTAAACACCTTAAGTTTTATAAGGACTTTGCTATAACATTATCTCTATGCAAATAATATAGGTAATTTTAAGAATTTATTATTAGACTAGGCTCCTTTTCAATTTTAGGCCATTTACTTATTGGAGTAATAAAACTTGTATACAAATATGTTGTTTCTTCTGAGACATGAATCCTAAGGTGGGATTATCAGAAGGTTCCACAATCTATATAAAATACCATCTTTTCAAAAAGTTTTTTTTTCATGGCTCTCATCAGCAGAAATATTTTTACTTCACAAGTACATACACTGAGGCAAAACTTAAGTGACATTTATATTTTGACTATAGGATGTGAAGTGAGATATACTCATGTAAGAATGTTATCAATATTAATAAAAGAGTAGTATATTAATTAGATCAGACATCCTTCCTGACAAAGCCAGGCCGGGGCAAAGCTGCCTGCCCACGGTCCCAAGCACCAGCACCTGTGGCTGCAGCTTAGGAGATGGAGAAAAGCCACCCACCCTCTGGTCCCAGGCTGGTCCTGGTTGCATGGGGCCGGCCAAGGGGAGGGAAGCCTGGGTCCCAGGTGCAGGGCTGAGGCAGAGGCAATTAGGCAATCTGGCAGGCAGGCAGAAATGGTTAGGGGTGATTAGGCAGGCAGAGGTGGTTAGGTGCTATTAGGAAGGTAGGCAGAGGGGTTAGGTGTGATGAGGCAGGCAGGCAGGCTAGCGGTTAGGGGCCAGCAGTCCCAGATTGCTAGAGGCATGTCAACTGCTGGTTTAGGCCAGATCCCTGTGTTCATCCCCTGAGGGGTCACAGATTGGAGAGGTACAAGGCGGGCTGAGAGACTCCCCTCCCAGGCATGAATTTTGTTCACTGGGCCTCTAGTTCATTAAATAAAAAGCATGATTATACATTTAAAAACAACACAATTTTAAATAGAGGCCATATATGTACATGTGTATATATAGGTGTAGCTTTAAAAATAGTTGATTCTCATGTATCCATCACCAAAGTTTAAGTGACCAGTATACCTGAACCTAATATAATATTGTATGTCAACTGTAACTGGAAAATAAAATTTAAAAACACATATGATCAATACCCAGGAAGCTCCCCTGGGCCTTGCTCTGATTACATTCCCTGCTGATCCAGCTCCCTCATCCCATAACTCCTCTCTTGAATCTTGTTTTTTGTCCTTCTCTTGCTTAAGCAATTCGTTAGCTTAGTGTGATATTGAGCTTTACATAAATGAAATCATACTGTATATATATTCTGCTGATTTTTTCTTTCAATATTATGATTTCAATATATATATATATTATTTTTTAGTCGAATATTAAAACAAGTTTTGACTTGTCTGATGGCTACTGTTGTTGAATCCAGAGTTCAGCCTCACCCTGATAACCTTGTAATCATAGCTCAGATGATACAGCTCTCTCATAATCCCTTTCTTCTACCAGGAACATGTGTTTAGCTCTATAGCAGTGCCTTCATCATGGGAGGCACTAATAGTTATTTATTAAATGAATGAATTTGAAGTCCCTAAGCAGAATTTGTTCGAACTGACATATTTTTGGATGAGTTGGGATTTGTCATTGTAATTATAAAGAGTGCCCTGTATTTGCTTGTGTTTCACTGAAGTTCCCGGGGTGGGGCTGGGAATGAGGCCAGGGACCCAGTGCATGCTTGGGTCATGCATTGCATTCAACAAATTCTATGATGAGGATCTGGAATATATGAGTTTCTGTTGAGTTGAACAATTTTCTGTAGAGCTGACCAATTATAGTACATACTGAAAACGCACAGTTGGTGGTGTTGATGATGATGGTGGTGGTGATGATGATGACCATAAGATTGTTGCCAGGGTTTCAAATCCTTAAGCTTTGAATTATTTTTAACAAGTCCTACAGGGCCCTGTATGACCCAGTCCACTTGCTATGTTCCCAGCTTCATGCAATAAATAGCACCTTTGCATATGTTGTACATTGTTCTTTCTGGTACTCTCTGAGCCCTTGTGATAATCTCCTGCAGATCCAGATTTTCATTTCAAGTGACCTCTTTTTAAATATATATATATATAATTGATTTTAGAGAGGGAGAGATAGAATGATGAGAGATCATTGACATCATTGATGAGGGAAAATCATTGATTTGCTGCCTCCTGCACAACCCCCACTGGGGAGTGAGCCTGCAACCTGGCATGTGCCCTGACCTGGAATTGAGGAGCAACCTCCTGGTTCATAGCTCAACGCTCAAACACTGAGCCACAACCATTGGGCTCAAGTGACTTCTTCAGAGAAGATGTTGCAACGCCCCCACCCTGTATCTCTCCCTCATGGCCCCCTATTGTAACTGGGTGATTGTGTTGCTGGTGGTTTCATCTGTGTTTCTTCTCTTGGCAAATGAGCTTTGTTACACAGATGTCTGGCTTGTTTACCTCTGCCCAGGGACTTTCCGGAGAGTGTTGCCAACAGTATGTGCTCAATAAATATTTGCTTCTGAAGCAATGAATGTTGAATTATTCAAAGTTCTGTTAAAATTTTTTTTTTGTTTTCTTCTCTCTTTAGCTGGGAAGTTATCAATTCCAAACCAGATGAAAGACCCAGGCTCAGCCACTGTATTGCAGAATCCTGGATGAATTTCAGCATATTTCTTCAAGAAATGTCTCTTTTCAAACAGCAGAGCCCTGGCAAGGCAAGTTTCCCAGTATGGGAGAATGACTGTGCTTTAAATGGTGCAATAAACTTAGAAACAAATGAGTTAACTTATTTTATCAGCTTGTAAGTGGTCTCCAGTTCAAAAGACGATCTATTAGCAACACATCCCATAAGAGCTGGTATCAGGAAGGTTCAGAATCATTCATGTGTCAGCATTAGACAAACTTCAACATCATAGTTTGAAATTGGATTGGTTTCCTATTTTTATACCTATTTATCTAGTTCCTTAACAAAATGAATGATGATTGGTCTTGCCATCCAGACCAAGAATGAAAAAATATTAAGAATTTCAGTTTATAGTAGTCAGCCTGGTTCTGAAGTCAAAGGGAGATGAAATGAACTCTTGCCATTTGAAGGGTTTTGGGGAGATAATTAGGGCTCTCTTTTAATCTAAAAAGTGGAGTTTCTTATGTTATTTATTTTAAAATCTTGGCAAAAAAATTATAGTGATTATATACGTGGAATGAGTATTTTTAAAAGTAAGTTGAAAACCTATGAGAAGAGTCGTAAGTGGTCTGAAGGGATTACATGGAGAAGTGCACACGCCTGCGTTAGTGTGTGCAGAGGCAGCTTCAGCTGTGATCCTGATAGCAAGGGTGAGGTGCAGAACCACCATGGGCTCTTTCCCTTCCAGTGTCATGTTCAGGTTGTCATGTTCAGGTTGCTCCAACGCCCACCTGTAGTTGGAAGGGAAGAGCCTAGGAATGTCGACATTTGCAATCCCTCTCGTTGTACTATGTACAGACACTCTCTTGACTTCAATGCCTAGTACTAAGTAGTACAGCTACGCTGGGACACATTTTGAGCATATTAAAGTAGCAAGGTGGTATATGAATGGATTTTAAAGAATCATTGAAGGTGAGTTTTAGAATAGATATCTATATAGTGATTGTGGGATTCATTTTTATGCCTATTTTACCAAAACTATTAAACATTTTTAGGAGATTCTGAACTTAAAGCTTCATTGGGATCCAAGTCACTTAGCTTAGGAGGATGGTCCTACAGACTTAGCGGATAATATGAAATCCCTTCCCCAAAGTGAATTCTAAATTTACTAATGCTCTTGACTCATTTGTTCTTTAGAATTTTAAGGGTTTTCCTCTTCCATTTTACTACTAGAATGTCATATTCTTCAAGGGCCCCTGCTATTTCAGAAATAACTGTTAATTTAGTTCTGAAAGTTCATTAATTCTCCTTTTGGCTTAATTAACCTTGTGCCAAAGAACAAGAAATCAAAGATAATCTGATTAGAAAACCTCCTTGCTCTTCCACTTAATCAGTTACGAATACCATATTCACAAGTCTTTTAACATTTCCTTATTTTCGCCGAAACTGATTTGGCTCAGTGGAAAGAGCGTCAGCTTGCAGACTGAGAGGTCCCAGGTTCGATTCCGGTCAAGGGCATGTACATTGGTTGCGGACACATCCCCAGTAGGGGGTGTGCAGGAGACAGCTGGCCGATGTTCTTCTCTCATCGATGTTTCTAGCTCTCTATCCCTCTCTCTTCCTCTCTGAAAAAAAAAAATCAATAAAATATTTAAAAAATAATAAAATAAAATTTCCTTATTTTCCTTGTTTATCAGTTTAATGCCATAATTTAAAGATGAAGCAAAAGAAGTAAGATGTTTTATTTTTTAAATATATTTTTATTGATTTCAGAGAAGAAGGAAGAGGGAGATAGAGAAACATCAATAATGAGGGAGAATCATCGATCAGTTGCCTTCTGCACACCCCATACTGGGGATTGAGTTTGCAACCCCAGGCATGTACCCTAATTGGGAATTGAACCTATGACTTTCTGGTTCAAAGGTCAACACTCAAAAATTGAGCCACACCAGTCGGGCAAGATAATTTATTTTTAAGATTAGAGTGTGGAAAATATGTGAGAAAGATTATGGAATAGTTTTTCTATCTTTATGTTTAAATTTCAAAAAACAACCAAGATTTTTGGGGGGAGTTATGAATGATGGAAGGAAAATAATCATGTTTCATTGTAGGAATTTCATTTCATTCACAGCTGGTTTCTAGGTGATGTAGAAGTGAATCAATTTGCTATAGTTATGGAGGTTGATGATAATGGCCAATAGAGTTATCCCAGCAGCTTATCAGCTGTGCAAATTCCTGTTATGTTTAGAGAAATGCCTCTAATTCCTGTAACATGTTTTGCTTATAGAAATGGTTTGAACTTTCAGATTTAGCTCCTAAGCTGCTTTATATCCAGTGGGTGATCCTGAGTAAGAGAAGTTTCTGGAAGCATGTAAATCTTCAGTTCTCTGGCATCTGGCAGTACTAAAAGCCACAGGCATGATTAATGGGAGACATTATGCCCTGAGCCAGAAATTACCTTCTGGAACGTCAGAATAATTATTACCAAGTGTGAAAATGGAGTAAAGCTGGTTGAATGCTATAGTCATTAGTTAGAACTAAGGGCAAAAGAACACTGAAAAGGCTTTACCATGTTTAATAAATCAGATATAGAAAAATAATTGTGTGTGTATCCTGCACTCTGAAATGTCCTGGTATTATGCATAACTGGCATGTGTTTTTTCTCTGATTTCTAGTTTTGTCTCCTGGTCTGCAGTGTGTGCACATTTTTTATGATCTTGGGAAGTTACATTCCTGGGGTTATACTCAGCTACCTACTCTGTAAGTATAGCAGAACATTTGGCTAGTGTATGTGGTGCACGTGGTATCATTTAACGGTCAATAAGACCATCCATAGTTTGGAAGAGGAGGGATGAGTACTTAATTATAAAGAAAGTTGATTGTTCTTTAATTTCATCTGTCCAAAGGTTCTCCTTTTCCTTGAGATTTGTTTATATTTTAAAATTGGAAGAGTAGTTGCCAAAAGGCAGGATTATAAGTAATTAATGTTACTTTAAATTATGTCTTAAAGCTATAAATAAGTATACTCCCTACCCCCACAGACACACGAATACCTTTGCCCTTGTGCATGTTCTGTGGCTCAAAAAATAGTTAAACCACAATGAGATACCATTACACCAGAATGGCTAAAATTAAAAATGCTGATCATATCAAGCATTAGCAAGGATATGGAGCAACTGGAATTCTCACATACTGTTGGTGGGTAAGTAGAATAGTACAACCACTTTAGATAACAAGTTTGGCAGTTTCTTAAGAACTACTTTATATCCCATTTCATAGCTAAGTGTTTACCCAAGAAAAATGAAAGCATTTTTCCACAGAAAGACTCATGAATGAATGTTCATAGCAGCTTTATATGTAGTAGCCAAAAATGAAACACAATTCATATGTGACCATCAGTAGATGTATAGAAAAACAAATTGTGGTATGTCCATACAATGGGTTTTTACTCAGCATGAAAAACATCAATATGTGCAGCAATCTGGATAAATCTCAAAATAATTGAGTGGGAGTAGTCAGATTTTTTTAAAAGAGTATATAATGTATGATTTTATTTATGCACCATACAAACTAATTTTTAATGATAAAGCTGACCAATGGCTGCCTGAGGGTGAGGTAGGAGAGGTCAGGGGTAGGCAGGAGGAAAGAGTTAATAGACACATGTGGAAACTGGATGATAGTAAATATGTTCTCTTTCTTGATTGTGGTGATGGTTCCTTAGTTGTATGCCTGGCTCAAAACTTATCAAATTGTACACTTTAAATATGTGTAATTTACTGTACATCAATTATAATTTAAAAATGCTGCAAAAAATGTAAATTTCCTGCTTCTCCTGAAAAATCTGATTTAGTGATGCCAGCCTTAGGTGGTGTGGGCATGCTCCACTTAATTCATTCTCATACTTGCCTATTTTTCTCACACTAGCTTTTAAAATTTTTACATACCACCTTGGCTGCTAGAGGTATTTGAGTTTGTATGTCCTATTTAAAAGGTAAATAGGCACATTTCCTAACAACAACAAAGAAATAAACATCAGGGAAGGCAATACAACCTTCATTTTGTTTGTTTGTTTTCCCAATGCATATCACAGATGGCACATGGTCCGAGCTCAAATCCATTCTCCCAAATAGAATTCTTGTAGAGTGTCTGCCTCTCATCTGCCTTGTTCAGCAGGTAGAGGAGAAGAGAGCAGAGAAGGGGAGTCTAATATGGGCCAGGCATTATTCAGATGGTTTGTATTCGACTCATTTACCCTTCTCAAGAGCCCTGAAATAACATTATTATCACAATATGTCTGAAAAGAGGCAAGTAGATAATAATTTCCCCAAGGTGCAGTTGCATTTAATAAATAAGTAGAAAATTTTTAACCCAGGACTGTTAGCTGGAAAGTATGGAATCCTTGTATAAATTTTTAGGGTAAAGGATTGAAGGGAGGGAGTTGATCTGATTGTAAGTCTTTGAAAACAATGACTATAAATGTGTGTGTCAATGCGCATGCGTGTAGGAATGAATGTTGTTATTTCAGGGAGAAGAATTAAAATTATATAGTTATTTCACAGAAGCATTTCCCTAAGGGGAAAAAAAAATTCTGTTTGTCAGTAAGAGGAATTGAAATATTTTTGTGAAATACAAAGATGTAGACTTTTGAAATGAAGATCATCTTACCCACACTCTCTTCCTTCTTATATTTCAGTACTGTGTGCATTTTTGTGTCCACTGTTTAAGTGTAATGATATGGGACAAAAACTATACAGCAAAATCAAGTCAGTTCTGCTGAAACTAGATTTTGGAATTGGAGAATATATTAACCAGAAAAAACGTGAGAGATCTGGTAGGTAAAGTTTGACTTTCAGATTCCACACATGAAATGAGACATCAGTGGGCTATTGATTATGAAATCACCTTCTGTACATGTCAGGGTGTTTTCCTTTTACAGCATATTATTACAGAAGCTCACTCCCCTCCCCAAAGTAATATAACCTTTCCTATTTAGTTAGATTTTTATTATCTTCTGAAACATACAATAAATGGACTTTCTAATTAAATTTCAGAGAGGGAGAAAATAATTCAACCATTCCATATTTGCTATTTATGATTTACTTTCTTTAATTTGCTTTGTTTTGGGGTGAGCTATTGCAAATAAAAAATGACACAGGTAGGACTAAGAATGTGGGAACCATAGAAGAGGCATCAAAAAATGGGAAGGGATATAAAATACATAGAGGAAAAATCAGTGTCATCAATTTTCCCTTTTTAACCTTATACGTTCTCAAACTATAGCAGGCATCACAACTGCCTTTTCATAAAAAGGCTTATTAAAGCAGAGATTGCTGGGCCAGCTGACAGAGTTTCTGATTCAGTTGATCTAGGTCAGTGGTCAGCAAACTCATTAGTTAACAGAGCCAAATATTAACAGTACAAGGATTGAAATTTCTTTTGAGAGCCGAAAACCAACTTCTGTGCATGCGTCATGAAGTTTCAGTCGCACTGTCGGTGCACGCCCCCATGTGGTATTTTGTGGAAGAGCCACACTCAAGGGGCCAAAGAGCAGCATGTGGTTCGTGAGCCGCAGTTTGCTGACCACTGATCTAGGGTAAAGCCTGAGAACTTGCATTTCTAACAAGTTCCCAGTGGTGCTGATGCTGCTGGTCCAGAGACCACACTGTAAGAACACTGATATGGACCATTCCCCTTGGAAATTAGACCTCTGCAAATAAGTGAAGCTTGTTACGTGCAAACACTTAATTCCGTAGAAGCGTTGGAGAAAATGAGGAATGTGAGTAAGGAAATGTATTGGATAAAATACATCTATGTATAAGCTGGCCAGGAAACTGAAAGCTCCCCAATTTTTTCTCAACAGAAGCAGACAAAGAAAAAAGTCACAAAGATGACAGTGAATTAGACTTTTCAGCTCTTTGTCCTAAGGTATTTTTTTTGTTTAGTTTTTCCATTTGTTCCTATGTAGTTTGACTGTAAATTGATTTAAAGCCAGAATGATTTTCCCAATCGACTCCTCCTATTTCTCTAAGATGATTGAACAATTCTGAAAGGAAAAATACTCACCTGGTTTTTATTAGTCTGACATTTTTGGTGGTAGTATGGAGTTTTCAAAAGATTTGCCACAGAAGTTTAGAATGTGCCACTGGTATTTATATTAACACAGATTAGCCTCACGGTGGCTGCCAAAGAGTTGTCTGTGTCCGACACAGACGTCTCCGAGGTCTCCTGGACTGACAATGGGACCTTCAACCTTTCAGAAGGATACACTCCACAGACAGACACTTCTGACGGTATGCTCACATTTCTCTCTCTCTTTTTTGTTTTTCTGAGTGCATGCAGAAATATTTAACTCTGTCTACTGCTGAATGGCTAACCAAAATGGGGTATATACCCTGTTTGCCCAAAAATAAGACAGTGTCTTATATTCATTTTTTTCCCAAAGTTGCGCTAGATCTTATTTTCAGGGGATATCTTATCTTTCCATGCGCTAGGTCTTATTTTCGGAGGATGTCTTATTTTTGGGGAAACACGGTATCTATACTGTCATGTGGCTATCGAAATGAAGAATTAATACTTGCTACAACATGGATGAACCGTGAACACTTTAAGCAAAATGAAAGAAGCCAGACTCACAAGGCTAGATATATTGAATAAATCCATTTATGTGACAAAGCCATATAAATGGATAGTAGCTATATGGCTAATACAGGGCCTGGGGAAGAGGGAATGGTGAGTGGAATCATATGGATTTCTTTCTTCTTGTTTTTTTTTTTTTTTTTTTTGGTTTGTTTTTTTTTGTATGAGTTTCTTTTGGGATTCATGAAAATGTTTTAGCATTAGACAGTGGTGATGGTTGTACAGCTTTGTGAATATATTAAAATCCACTGAGTTGTACACTTTAAAGGGTAATTTGGTAATATCTGAATTATATGTCAAAAGCTATTATTTTTTGAGTATGAGAAACAAATCTAAAGCCAGTGTTCAAAATCTGCTTTTATTTAGAAAATATATAAACATTGACAGTGAACAAAATGAACTTCTCCAATGTCTGGTGACCTTGTTCATAGTGGTAATGGGAGGAGGGGAAGAGAAAAACCAATCCCACATATCTGAGGCTAGCCTCATTCACAGGGACTGAGCATGGAGGCCACGTCCCCCAAATCCAAAGCTGACTCCAAGGTTACTCTTCAGTCAGTTTTAAAATAAACAACAACATTTGCTTTCAAATGCACCAAATTTTACAAGTGTTCCTACATGTATTCAGGACACTGTTTTGGTTAAAATGGTATGAACTATTTTGAAAATATATTTTTTTTTATTGATTTTTTTAGAGATAGAAGAAGGGAGAGGGAGAGAGAAACATCTGTGTGAGAGTGAAACACAGATCAGCAGCCTCCTGCGTGCCCCCTATCAGGGATCAAGCCTGCAGCTATTTTTATGTAAAGCAACATGTTTCCATATGCTCTGAGGTGGAATGTGGAATAGAAGGAGCAATAGCTTCTTCTAATTAATTGATTTAAAACAAACACAGGCTACAGATACTCTGATCTTCCTGGATGAAAAATGCTGAGGTTGGGTAATATTCCCATCTGCTGTACCAGATACCATGCAAACTCCAATTGAAGTTTTTCTTCTTCTGTGATCATACATATCCACAATGGCTTACGCTAATTTCCTCCCCAGGGGCAGGATGAAATATTTGGTTATGGTGAACATTTAAATTTAAATTTTAGTCAAAGCCTCAAGCTAATGTTAGGTGAATAGTAAGTGATTATGTCTACTGCTTTGTGCTTATGAGGCAAGTTAAAGACATGGGGTGGGGGTGTAGTATTTGTGTACTTGTGGAGAGATGGTGCCCCAGATTTGGGAGGGGTCCGATATGTGTGGTTAAGTTTACTTAAACTGAACCAGGTGGCTAGATGAAGGCCAAGGTTTCCCAGAGGGTTCAGATTAAAATCAGTGTCTTTTATTCAGCTCTCTCATTTCAAATTTATCATGGTGCTTAAGCATGAACTTCTGTTGTACCTTTCGCAGATCTTGACCGACCTGGTGAGGAAGTTTTCTCTCGAGGCCTTTCAGATTTTCCATCTCTAGAAAATGGCATGGGAACAAACGATGAAGATGAATTAAGCCTCGGCTTGCCCGCGCAGCTCAAGGGAAAAAAGGAGCAGCTGGACAGCGGTCTCAGACCCAGCAAAGAGAGGCCGTCATCCGCTGGTCTCACCCTTCCTCTGAGCAGTGACCAAACCTTTCACCTGATGAGCAACCTGGCTGGGGACGTCATCACAGCTGCAGTGACTGCTGCCATCAAAGACCAGTTAGAGGGTGCGCAGCAAGCCCTTTCTCAGGCTGCGCCCAGCCCGGGAGAGGACACAGACACTGAAGAAGGCGATGACTTTGAACTCCTTGACCAGTCAGAGCTCGATCAAATTGAGAGTGAATTGGGACTTTCACAAGACCAGGAAGCAGAGGCACAGCAAACTAAGAAGTCTTCGGGCTTCCTTTCAAATCTACTTGGAGGCCATTAGTCTGGAATCAGCTTGTATGACAGAGCACAGATAACTACCAAAAAATTTCAAACAAGCAAAAAAAAAAAAAAAAAAAAAAAAAAAAGGAAAAAAATGTTTTTGAACTGTGAGCTTTACTCATTGCTTTAGATTATTTTGTCTTATTTTCTCTTCTGCAGTGAATTAATTGGATATATATCAGCTGACACTGATAGATTTATCTGATAGTTATTTTTATGTAATAAGCATGGAAATGAAAAAAAAATATGTATATACAATTGACCCTTGAACAAATGGGTTTGAACTGTGCAGGATTATGTCAATAAATATTATAAAGGTATTTTCTCTTCCTTATGATTTTCTTAGATATTTTGTTTCTCTAGCCGACTTTATTGTAAGAATACAGTATATAATACATAAACAAAACATGTTAATCAACTGTTTGTGCTATCAGTAAGGCATCTGGTCAGTGGTAGGCTATTAGTAGTTACGTTTTGGGGCGAGTCAAAGATATACACAGATTTTTGACTGTGCAGTGGGTCGGTGCCCCTAACGCCTGCATTGTTCAAGGGTCAACTTGATGTATGTGTATATGTATGCATGTATGTGTGTACGTGTATGTGTGTACACGTACATATATATATACACACATATACATACATACTGTGTTTTCAGAGATGAATATTTGGGGTTATTTTTAGAGCAAAAAGAAAACATGAACTTATTGAGATACTTCCATAAGTACTCCTTACTTTTTCTTGCAATTTTCTCTGCAATTAATTTTTCAAGCATGCAAGAACAGTTTATTGTAATTCACTGAAACATTAATAACTAATTGGAAATACATGTTATATCAGCCCCCTTTGTTCCTAACATTGGGAAACATAAATATTTTTGGTGGGTTTTGTTGTAAAAAGATAAAAAATATCGAGGCACCTTTAGTTGAAGATTTGAAAGAAAATATCAAAATTAATTTTCTAGGAAAAAATCTTAAAATGTATTTAATTCCTTTGGATAGGCTGGTACATTTCCATTGTTATTTCTGCAGTTGTAGATTTAGGCTTACTTGAAAATGGCATGCTCCATTGACTGTCAGCTCAAGCCCTGCAATGGGTGGTATTAACCCATAGAAAGCAAGTAATTATACATCAAGTATACCGCTGTAAACAGATATTGGGCTATGTTTTGTGGTTCAATTATCATATATTTGTAATAGAGATATCATGAGTGCAGAGCTGTTTTGCCTGCTCAGATCAAGGTTAAGCCCTCATCTTTGATATTGTGTCATGGAGAAAAAAAACCTTTTCTCAAAATCATGAAACTAGTTCCTGGTCTGTTCTGTGAGTGATGTGGTCATAAGCAGTAGAGAAAAATGACTGTTTTTATAGTCTGCATAAATTCTCTTACAGGAGAAAAACTTGCTTGGCTTTAATATGTATTTATTTGCCAATGAAGTCTAAATATTTAATGTTTCTCACTTGGAAGCTAGAATATGTTTTTCCATTATTTTAAGCTTTTTTAAACCAAATTTGTTGGAGGTTTTTAAGAAAGGACTAAAGAACAGAAATCAAGCTAATTGTGTTTTTTTGATGTAGCATTTAATAGTGTTGAGGGACCATGCCAGCAATAGCAACAGTCCCTTTAATCTTCAGTACTGCTGGCATTTCCACAAATGCACACAGACATCTGAGACCCTCAGAAAGGAAGGATAATCCAAGAATATAGGAAATCTGTGCCCTCCCCCTTCATTTGATTTTCTAAAGAATAGGCTAATCATAAGTAATCTGACATTTTAATATAGCAGCTCTTATTTATTTTTTTCCTTCTGAGATATTAAAATATCTAGACTGAATTTTGCCAAATGTGTAAGGGAGAGATGTTACTGAAGACTTTGAACACCTGCTTTTTGTGAGTGACTCTGCTTATATGTCATTAGTGCCTCATGACTGTGTTTGATGTCCTTTATTGATACACAGTGAGCCTGTGCCTTCATTATCTTGCCCATTTTGGTACAAATGAAAACTTGGTGTTAGATCTATGAACTGTGTGTGTGTGGGAGAAATATACCTGAATTCTATTCAATAAGAATTTCTAGACATGAAGAAAAATACAATCACATATTTCCAGTGGTGACTAGGATTCACTCCCCCCCCCCCCTTTTTTTTTAAACATGTATGTTTCTTCATTTAAAAAATATTTTTGGCCATAAAGTCAAAAAGTTTGAAAGTCATTTCAATTTCTTCATTGAGGGAGAAATAAGAAATTAAATAATCCAAATAATTAAAGAATGTGTTACAATTCAGTGGACAAGCTTACACAAGAAGATAAACTCAGAGTTTATGGTAGGAACAATGCACTAGAATCAAATGTTGTTAACTGTAAATCAAAAGGGTCTTTGGGATGGGGAGGGGATGAGGACAAGGGAGAGTAGAAAAAGGTGTTACTAGCACTATGGAGGAGACATACCAGCTCTCTATCGGCAGTGGCTTTATCACCTCATATCTTCACTGTCTGCCTATGAACCTAGTACTTCAATGTGATTTGTTTGAGAATATGATCACAAATTTACACATACAGTAATGGTACTCTTAATTCAAACTAACAGAGTTGTTTTGTTTTGTGTCTGTGATTTTTTTGTTTGTTTGTTTTTTGGTGGGGGAACATTATATATAAGCTTGTTTCTGATTTTAAGATATAGTAACAGTAAACCCTGTGGCTGATCTGGTAACAGGGGAGGGGGGGGGCACACTCTATATTCTATATTCCTTTCCATCAGGATTGATGCAGTCATTAAAATCTGAAGCATGGATTTATTTTTTAATTATAGAGGAGTTGTAGAAAAATGTTTTGCTCATTTCCAGTAGAAAATGTTGAGCAAAACAATGGGAATAATATATATTGATCATGCATATTGATCTGAAACAACAAAGCAGAGTCCAAGAAGGTCAAGTTTGCTTTGGAAGGTCAACCCAGGGTTAAAGTAGTGTTTACATTCTCATTCTGAAACATCTTTGCTTTTTCCTACCCTAAAAATCTTCAAAAATGAATTTTTTAAAAATTGGCCCTCTCCAGCTTAGTAGTCTTTTAAGAAAAGAAACTTGTATAAGATTTTGCAATTAGCAAACATCCTCAACAGCTTTAGGCAACTCCCTCCAATATTTGAAATAAGAGCAACTTTCCTTTAAATAAGTGGAAAATGCCAACATACTACTGATTTTAGGTCAGAGGCAAATCTACATTTAAGAAAAATATAATTTAGTTGATGTAGAGTTTACACTGCTCCAGCTATATTGGTTATAAGATAGAAATTATTCTGAAAAAAGTTAAACTGCTGTCATAGGTCATTCGTGATCATGATGGAATTAAAAAATCCCTGAACTATTTTTGTGTGCATTGTTCCTCCATTTCCACCAAAGCATTTCAGCTGGGATGGAATGTCAGAAGTAGGAGTTTGGTTCTGATGTTAATATTATGGCCCTAATTCACAATGTCAAAGTCACATAACATCCCAAGACCACCTCAATTTCCCCAACATAAATTAGGAAGCTAATTTTTATTTTCTCATAGGGATGTTTTGAGAATGAATGGGAGGGGAAAAAAGCATTTGAAACCCTTTCAGGGGATAAAAAAAGCTCTATAAAACCAAGATAGTGATTCCCTTCCCCTCTCCCCCCCAGCCTGTGTTTCAACTAAACCATCTTTTTAAATATGAAAACAGTCAATAAGTTCCTGCTTATAAGAAAACTCTGTTTCTTTCCATGGGCCTACCACTTTATTGGCCTCATAACCCAATAAATGCTGTGGAATAAAGGATGAAAAGTTTTGCAAAAATGTCTATTATTTCAGCTGACTCTGGACTATGTGTGAGATTCTTCACTAATCATTTTGAATGGTTCTAACACTTACTGGCTGTGGGACTCTAGTCACCTACTAACTCTGTACTTGTTCCCTTTATCTATAAAATTAACATATAACACCCACCTCCTAATATGATGTGAGGATAAAGTGTCTAAGACTGGGGTTGGAAAACTATGGCCTGTGGGCCAAAGCTGGCCTGCAACCTTTTTGTATGGAATACCAGCTAAGGCATTTTTAAAAAACATTTTTAAATAGTTTAAAAAATCGGAAGAATATTTTATGACTTGAAAAATATGAAATTCAAAATTCAGCATTCACAAATTAAGTTTTATTAGAACATGCCAAACTCATTCCTATACTGCCTATGCCGTATATTCATGCTTTCACGGAAAAGTTGAATAGTTGTGACAGAACACATAGGGCTACAAAGTCTAAAATATTTACTATCTGGCCCTTTATAGGAAAAGTTTGCCAACCCTTGACCTAATACTATTATACACAGAAAACAATGACACTTGGGATTGTGTGTAATTTCTGTGACTACCATTAAGAGTTTGTTTTTTTGTGTTTTTTTTTTTTTTTCAGAAGAACAGGGTTAGATAAGTTGCTCAGTTACACAGCACATGCTTGTGTATAACTGGGGCACACAGCTCCTAGCCTGTGGCCCCTTGAACTGTTAGGATGGGGTGGGGGAAATTGTTTACTGAAAATCACAATACTTAACATTTTTCCTTATGACCACAGAATTTATAGAAATTGTAAACCACTTATTAAATGTTTTGTATTCTATATTTGTTACCCCTGAAAGGTAACTTCAACCAACCCTAACTCCTTTACAGTTTTCCTATTGAAACCCAACAGTATAGGAATGTGAAAGGTAGTAAACTGAAACTAGCAAATATTGTGATCACTGCTATATCAATTGACTTGAAGATGACCTTATTAACTTTTTTAATTACTGAAAATCAACATTACAACATCTAGCCTAGAAAGGAACCACTTGTCATGGTGCTTCCAAAGTTACAGTGTGCACCAGAACACCAGCACCTCGATCATTAAGTGAACTAACTCAGGGGCTATGTCACAGTATCCAGAAGGACTTTTCAATATTTCCAAGTCTAAATTTTTTTTTTTTTGTCATAGGCGGGCTCAGTTTAAATTCT